TAGCAGTAAAGCCCGGCGTTGCCCGGGGATGTAACAGTAAGAGATAGATCAAGTATCGATCATCATAAAGACTGAAAAATAAAATTGACAAAGATTATTGTTTAAGGTTGACGGACACGCATGTCTTAATTAGTTTTTTTTTTGTTTTTTTTTTTTTACGAATTGATCAAACCCAAACTCATACAAAAACATTGTTTTCAATCGTTATGAGTCTACCGATTGAATAGAATTTTATTATAAACAATTGTCTTCTAAATGGAATTTTTAAAGCATTCTAAATGTAAAAATAAAGAAAAAAGTGTGCAAGACAATAAGAAACACTACCTGCCAGAAAAAAGTGAAGTTTTGTTGAAATCGGTTGAAATCCGATCCCATATATAAACGAACACAGACACACACACAAACAACCTGGGTTTTATAATAAGTATAACTTGATATGAGTTGTCCCCCTTTCAATCTGGCGACAGTGATGCCGCTTAATCGTGTTTTCAAATTGATTTCGAGCAAAAACAATTGTGTTGTTCCAATTTTGGGCGCTGTCATAACCACTGCAAAGTAATTTTACGCAGTCCTGTGAAGTTTTGTTGAAATCGGTTGAAAAATGTAGGAAATCCGATCCAATATATAAACGAACAGACACACACACACACACACAACCTGGGTTTTATAATAAGTATGATTACAGCTTAAATACCTAGACCATTATCATGGTGAATGATAAAATTAAAATGTTATTTTTGTGAATTCGGCTATATTCATTGTATTGGTGGAAGTGTGTTCAATTATAATGCAATAGTTATGGCTTACACCTCGTTGAACAAAGTAAATACACAGAGGCCTTATCATGGAGAAGGGTAGAATTTAAATGATATACAAGCATCCCTCGATTAATGCACATTCAATTAATGTATTTTCCATTAGTGCGCTAAAATATTTATATAACAAAATTCGATTAGTGCTACACAATAATTGATTAGTGCGCTAAAACATTATTCAGTTTAACCATAGATTATTTTTTTTTATCGTTATCGATGTACAAATTAGCCGTACTAATCGAGGGAATCCTGTATTTGTAGATTAGTCTATATTCAATATCTATCGTCATACTTGTGGAGGAGAGTTCAGTTATAATTAAATATTTCTGAGTCTTTATTGAACAAAGTAAATACATAGGATGGTTGTCATGTAGAAGTGTAAAATTAAAATGCTCTATTTGTGGTTCCGACCATATTCAACAAAGTGTTTTTGTTGAGGAGTTTTCAGTTACTATGGAATATTTCTGTCTTAATTCTTATTGAAAACATAAATATCTATGATCCTTATCATGTAGATGGTTCAAATTAAAATTATATATTTGTGGATTTGGCCATATTGAACACAATACATATCTAGATCCGTATTTGTGTAAGAATGTCCAGTTATAATGATATAGTTCCTTTAGACCTTATCGAACAAATTAAATACCTTGGACCCTAATCATGGATAAGGGTAAAATTGAAATTACCTATGTTTGACTTAGTCCTTATTGAAGGAAATAAATATCCTGAGTCATGAGAAAGGGTAAACTTAAAATGATATATTTTTGCATTCGGCTATATCCAAAAAGTAAATGTCTGTCATCGTATTTTTGAAGGCGTGTTCAGTTATAATGAAATAGTACCGATTTAGTCCTTATTAAATGAATTTCCTACCTAAAACCCTTATCATGGAGTCCAAAATTAATATATTTCTGAATGAAAATAATTGTCTAACACGGTAAATATGGAGCAGTTTTCAGTTATAATTAAATAGTTTTAACGCTGCTCTTACTAAACGAAGTAAATATCTAAAAGAATTATCAGGGAAAAGGTTAAAATTGAAATGTTATATTTGTGTATTCGTCTATAGTCAAAGTACATATTTCGCGTCGTATTTGTGGAAGAGGGTTCAGTTGCAATAGAATAGTCCTGGATTTGGTTGTAATGATTAAGTAGAGCCGATGTCGTGGAGAAGCGTGTGCTTAAAATAGTTCTGCTTACGTTTTAAACAAGACATTTGCATGATGGAGAAGTGTTAACTTAAAATGAAATTAAATGACTGACGGCAGAAAGAAAATGTAATGTTGGATTTGTGTTCTGATACGGATGAGGATTCTATGCGCTTTTTTTGTTGCTTGAGAAGGGAATTCATTATTGATATTTTAACTTTTATGACATTTTTATTGACATTAAAATATATTTAAATTAAGCAGAATAACCTCCTCAGTACTGAAACTTAAAGTATTTAAAATTTTCGTTAATCATTTCAGGAGAACATTGAAATACTTCATTTTACACCTGCCAATAATAAGTACGAGTTCATAAATTGCTTTTCAACGACATTCCTACGATTAATCTCGCTAAATACATGCATGGAGTACTCTTCAAAAGTATTGGATCGTCAAGACCATTTTCTTTGTTTTTGTTGTTCACTGAAGACATTTGGGTTTAAGATCAAAAGATGAATATGAGACAAGAATTCAGAATTTCAGTTTTTATTTTATGATATTTAAAATTTGATGTGTTAATCAGATTAGGACGTACCCTCTATTTTGTATCCGATCACCCCATTTTTAGTTGAGCAACAGTAAATGAACAGACAGACTTAAATAAGTAACATTTAATAATTGGTTGTGTGACACTTGCTAGCAAATAACTGCAGCAAGTCTGTGGCCCATTAATTTCACCAATTAGTTTGCATTCTTCATTTGCGTTACAAGACTCCACGACGCAGAATAAATTGACTAAACTCGATATAGCGCCGCTACTTGCTAAAATCGATGGGGATATTCATCCAAGTATGTAACCCAACGGATTGTACCCCAAAAGCCACGTCTTCTTTCCCAAAGCCGCTAACAGAAGCTGGATCAAGCAAGTATATACCAGTGGTGGGGGTGATTTAAATAATCATTTATGGCAATTCATAGAGTGTAGAAGAATCTTCAACATAATGCAGAAATCACTGGACGGTTTTGCTTTTAGCCAATTTATTTTTGGAATGTTTCTTTACCTGTTTCACATATCTGCAAGATAGATTCTAGTGTCTTCATTGCTTGTCATATCAGCCGATTCTTTGGCCTTTACATTCCGCCATTCCTTCGGTTTGATCGTGCAGTGCATATTCCTGTTCGCCTTTTGTTGTGGTAAGCATTTCGAAAGAAAGTTAATTACTTTATCATTTTTTTAAGACAGGATATTCTAATTTTATTCCGTTTTGCGAACGAAATCTCTTATCAATGGTTTCTTCTCTTGTAAAAGTTTTTGGCGGCGTTACAGATTTAATTCCTTTGCATATCATTTCTATTTCTTCTTCTTCTTCTTCTTCTTCTTCTTCTTCTTCTTCTTCTATTATGTGATGTGCCTCTTCAGGACGTTGGTGATCATAAATCTTCACAATTTTCTATCCTTTGTAGCTCTTAATAATTTTTTTTTGTTATATATGCCAAGCCTTGTTCTGCTGTCTATTTTCCTAAACGCTCTAGGTAGGTTATGCTTTGTTTTCCCCTGCTCCACTTGTCTTCAATCTGTCCTGTGAGTACAAACATTTCCAAGCTCACTTTCCTCATTATGTGCCCCAGATATCGACATCTCTTCCTGATCTTAAATATCATTTTCTTTTTGTTTTTATTTTTTCTAAAATTTTCGGGTTGTGAATTCTAAGCATCCTTCTGTAGAACCACATTTCTGTTGCCTCATTCCTCTTCTTCATCTGTGAGTCGTTTGTCTAGTATACGAATACTGATATTGCATAACAGTTCAGTACTCTTTTCTTTGTTGATAACGAAACTTTTCTGTTTCTTAATACCTTGCTTAAGGCATCTGTCGATCTTCCAATGGCTTTCAGGGTCGCACTTTCTCGACTCTGTTAAAACATTTCCCAGGTATTTAAAATACCACCCAGAAAATCAAAATGATAGCAAGACTAAAAATAAAAAATTATGCATTTAAAATACTTCACGCCTTAAATATTCTAATTTTACAAAGGTTGTTTCCAAACAGTTTTTCTTCCTTTCTTTAAAAAAATACATTTTAACCGAAGTACTATACATCCTTCAGTTTTCTTTCACATTTGGAAATTTTGCACAGAAATCTTTGAATCATCGCAGTTCTTCTAACAGATTTCATGCCACATCCTATGTCATTCTTAAGTAATTTCATACATTTGAATCGTTATATCTTCCTTGCAATGTCAGGCTTCTCTTAACGATATGATATAACGAAATTATTATTAATAAAAGCATAGAAAATATAACATGCACCAGATATTTTAATATGGAAACTATAATTTCTGAATTACGTTAACAAAATTCATTCTTATCTTTTCCGTTTTTTGTCCAAATGTGTAAATAGAAGAATCTCTAAATAAACATATGTTGTCATTATGAATTCATTGAATTGAATTATTTTCTTCGTTTTGATTTTTTTTCTCACAAATTTTGCCCATTCTATACTCAGTTTTTTATTGTCTCTCGTATATATCTGGGCATTTTGATCTTAACCCTTTATTAAATTCATTCGCCACTGTAATACCCAGTCTCACCTTACAGAAAAAGCATTTCTTATATTTATTTCTCTCAATTTTTCCTAATAAATATTCTTCTCTCTGAAATATGTTCAAGTCACGATCATCATATAATTACATATTTTTTATGGCTTCTATCCATGGTAGAGGATGTCTCATGTTAATTATTAGTTAATTCGTCCTTTCTATACCGAACCACCTTTTCTAGTAAATTGTGTAAAGGATCAATATTCGTTAAACGTTACTGAATTAACCAGATACGTAGAGAAGGCTGGAAGTAGAGTGGTTGATATATTGCTTATTAAAAAAAAAAAAAGAATAATCATTCTATCAAAATAATTTTTAATGTTAGAAATTAAATAAAATATTATATTCTATTTTGTAGCATTTATCATTACTCTTCAAATTGTACTTGTGGCTTCCACTTTGAGACTGAAAATCTGGAAAAAGGATATTCCCCCATGTATCTTTTGTTTCGATTGTCTTCTATCATCCACACACAAATCACAGGTATTTGAGTTCATTCAATTATTCAATATAATTATTTTTAGCGTTTTATATATGGTTTATATATTTCCCTTTGACTTTGTAAAGAGCGAAAATACAAACGATTAACGTGCAAATTATGTCAATTAAGAACCGTCAAAAATCACCTACATTTTCAAAGGGATCTTTAATTCTTGCAAGTAATGAGCTTTCGTTTGTTATTCCAATTTTCTATTATTATTTATTTTAATATTAATTATTTGTAACTTCTTAATTTTGGTTTTAATATTTTATTTGATATTTGAATGATTAAATATGGAATAACGTTTAGATAATTGATTAAGCACCTGATAAAAATTTACACATAATTAAAGCATGTTAATTGATTATTTAGAAGTTTTTTCTTTTCTTTTCGTTTGATAGATAATGTACTATAATCATAATTTGAAGTAATATAAATATATACACATGCAAAGTTCAATAGAAAATATGTCGGAAATCGTCTTTTTAAATATAATTATTTTACTAGTAGGTTTATAATATCTCCTGAATCACATACACTGTTCTACTCAAGTTCAAGAGAACTACTGATTGTTAGGTACGAAGACAAAACGTAGTCCATTCAGAAAGCTAAATCGTATAGCACATAGTACATATCTATAATTTCATTCAGATATGTATCTACGATTCTTAAAATGATTTACCTGAAGTTCCTATCAAGGGTGAATGTAGCCCAAGTTATTTTTTAATCTGGGATGTCTATAGGCATGCATATGCGTATGGGCTAAGGACAAAAGATGCCCAGTCCTCTACAACAATGCCACGTTTGCATCGATTTTAAAAGTTTGGAATTCGGGAAGTTAAAATTTAACAGCCTTAATATAAACATAAATATTGTAAATTTCCTTCAGTCCTAATTAATGTAGGTGATTGTTTCTAAGAATTTATTCCTTATTATATGCAATTTGCGAAAATCATTAGCTTGATAAGTTAATTTTATTTAACATGTAATGACTTGTGTTTTCCTCGATGGCTGTTCAATTCAGCCTAGTTCTATAGAGTTAATAACTTCTCTCCCATCACTACCTCTATTTTGTTACAGCCGTAATACAGCTACCAAGAACCTTTCCTATAAATATTTTGGTAATTGTTCTGACAAGTTCTCCTCCTTGGTACCTTAGTTTCCAGTCAACTTGATCTTCAAAAAATGTAAATGCAATGTTAATCGTTATCTTCTTAATTCCTCTTCTTTTTTTGATAATGATTTTCTCAGATTCATTCATACACAGTAACCCCTTTCGTCTTTGAAGCTTTATAGCCTTCGTTTGGTTGAAATGATTAATCACACCTGCGCGCTGTTATCATTATTTTTATTGTTATTTTATTTCCTTCGATTTCTGGTGTGTGCACATTTCGTTCCGTGTCCAGCCACGAGACACAAGGTTAGAAATAGCATCATGACATTTTCCACTGATCGATTTAAAAAAAAAAAAAAAAAAAACACAAACATATTTTATATAGTTAAAGCCCTTCATAATGTGTGAGCTGAAATTGTGAGAACAATTTTTTTTTTGTATTTCTTTAAGGTATGGACATCCAGAAATCCCTTCAATCTATCTACTGGAATCTTTTCCAACCAATCCGAGCACTCCAAGTACAACAGGGATTGTTGGTGGTCTCATGTGCCACATTCTTGAGATTATTATTAGTAGAAGTATTATTATTAGTAGTAGTAGTAGTATTAGTAGTAGTAGTATTAGTAGTAGTATCCCTTTTTAATCAATAAGCTATCGTTATTTGATGTCATTCAGATGAAATCTTTGCTTTAAAAACTCTACATACTTTATTTTTCGAATAGATTTTCTCTGCACCATGCTGAGTTATAATTAATGAGATTTAATCGTAGAGATTTATTCATCACTATGTGCATTCACTAAGCCATGCCTAACGTTTAAATTAAAATTACAGTATAAATAATTTTTTTTTTAATTGGTCATTGCAGATTCTGCATAGGAATTGAGCATGACAGGACAGGAAATATTGTATCCTAATTACATATTTCAATAACTAACTGTATCCTAAATGGAACAAATATTTTTGGTAAATTGAAATTATAAAAAATTAACGTTATACCATTTTACTATTAATTCACTTTCCATCCTCGCCGATGAATGTATACATCATATCCGATAAACAGAATCGTATAATCTTATCTGATAATTTTATCGTATAATATATCTGCTAATTTATTGTCAGTTCTTATAACTTATCCTATCTTATAATCTTATATCCTAGCGTATATTTTTATATATTACTAGCAGTAGAGCCTGGCGTTGCCCGGGGATGTAACAGTAAGAGACAGATCAAGTATCGACCATCATAAAGACTGAAAAATAAAATTGACAAAGATTGTTGTTTTAAGGTTGACAGACACGCATGTCATAATTAGTTTTATATTTATTTTTTTTTTTACGAATTGGTCAAACCCAAACTCAAACAAAAACATTGTTTTCAATCGTTATGAGTCAACCGATTGAATAGAACTTTATTATAAACAATTGTCTTGTAAATGGAATTTTTAAAGCATTCTGAATGTAAAAATAAAGAAAAAAGTGTGCAAGACAATAAGAAACACTACCTGCCAGAAAAAAGTGAAGTTTTGTTGAAATCGGTTGAAAAATGTAGAAAATCCGATCCCATATACACACACACACAAACAACCAACCTGGGTTTTATAATAAGTATAAATCGATATGAGTTGTCCCCCTTCATTCTCGCGATGCCTCTTAATCGTGTTTTCAAATTGATTTCGTGCTAAAACAATTGTGTTTTTTCCCATTTTGGGCGCTGTCAGAACCTCCGCAAAGTAATTTTACGCAGTCCTGTGAAGTTTTGTTGAAATCGGTTGAAAAATGTAGGAAATCCGATCCAATATATAAACGAACAGACACACACACACACAACCTGGGTTTTATAATAAGTAAGATCATAGTTTTAATCTTTAATATTTTCGTATAATCTTATAGCGTGTCAGATTATAATTTTCTGATACAATATAAGATTATATTTTGTCTCGTTGTATAATCTTATAACCGATCGCATAATCCTTATATATATTATCGTTTAATTTTATATCTTATCATATCTAATACGTCTAGAGAGTACCTTGATCTACAGTAAATTTGCCTCTTGGCTCTTTGAACATTTCACCATTCCTGGCAGAAATTCTAATATGGGATATCTACTAACAAAAGCGATAGAAGAAAAAAAAGAAAAATTCTAAATGAAATCGGATAGATTAAAAATAAACACAGCTCCCTGGCTTGTCCGCATTTATAGTCACATCAACATAAGAAATTGTCACACACTTTTACCTAATATTGTTCCTGATATGTAAAACTATATATCGTTATCTTATATGTATATGAATAATGATAAAAGGAACATTTAAATCATCGGTCTGTTCGGTCATGTGATTGATTTTATCAAGGCAAATGTAAACATTTTATTTTGTAGCAAGTATTTATGAACCTTTGTAGTCTTTAATGATCATCAATATACATTAGACCAGTTAAGATAAATTATGGAGATTGCTAAGTGATATCTTTTGATGGGTAATAAAAAAGTATTTTATATATATATATATATTAAAGACATTTTTATGTTTAACGTTCTTTTTTATAGATACAAGTATTTAAGTAAATGCTCTGTTTATAATAAACAGTATTAAATAACATTTACCGGCCTGAATGTCCGAGAAAATATTCGTCTTTTGACAGGAATCGAACCTGCATCCTATACGGAACCGTCATTTAGGCTGACGTGCCTTACCGATCGGCCACAAAGTTCGGTAGACAAGGTCGAATTTACTGCTTATAAACTTCAATCTTCCATGAATCTCGTACATTCATAACTGCTCTGGCGTATCAAATGTAAACAAATGACGTCATATATTAAGAAATGGACAAAGTCCGACGATTTATTTATTAAAGACATTTTTATGTTTAACGTTCTTTTTTATAGATACAAGTATTTAAATACTTGTATCTATAAAAAAAAAGAACGTTAAACTATAAAAAATAAAAAAATATACATAAATATATATATATATATATATATATATATATGAAAAAAATATATACGGAAAAAAACAAACAAAATCCTTATATACAATTATGCTGTTTTAATGTTAATATGTCAACGTCGGACGTTTCGGTCTAATAAACCATCTTCAGGACATATTCATAAATTATAACATTATCAATGCAACATGACAAAGACGATGTACATAAGAACAAGACTTAATGTTATAATTTATGAATATGTCCTGAAGATGGTTTATTAGACCGAAACATCCGACGTTGACATATTAACATTAAAACAGCATAATTGTATATAAGGATTTTTGTTTGTTTTTTCCGTATATATTTTTCTTCATACTGTCGGATCTATATCCGTATATTTGCTTACACACACACACACACACACACACACATATATATATATATATATATATATATATATATATATATATATATATATATATATATATATAAAAGTTTACATCAACACATGCCGATTTGTATTAAATTATTCACATTAACACGGATATCCATTTTAATTATGTACAACGTCTAGAGTGTTGTGAATGGGAAGGAGATGATAATAAGTGCATATTATGAGGATATATGGAAAAAATATCAATTGACCCAGGACTTGAAAGGGTTAATATTGTAGTAGTCAGGGAAGCATCGCCTCAGGAGTATGTTCAACGAAGTAATAGTTCTGGAAAAGAAGCTGTGTGAAACTTACTCCTTACCATATGAACACAAACGTAATGATCATGATTAGTCATCGTGGTCATGGCATAGGAGTGATAAGATGTGAAGATCCGAGCTTGTCGGCCTAAGAAATGGAATTTGTTTCAAGATTTGCCATAATCATATCAATAGAGTTATCAGCAATAATCTAGCAACGTTCCATCAGTGTGATAAGTGTTGTAAGGTGGAGGATAATTTATCACTCGTGAAGTTGAGTATTCACTTTTGTAATGTGATCAGCCGGAACTTGTACTGACTTGGAGAGGTATACTCCAAACATGGAAAATATATGTTAAATACTTGAATTATGTCTTGATGTAATTACGTAATTACTTCATTTAGCAAGTGGTATTTTCATTTGACCTCATCCAATCGAAAGTAAGGCAAATGAAAGAACATTGACGGCGAAGTGTTCTATTTTATTTTAGCAATGACCAAAGCCAACACCCTTTTGGATTGTGAAACATACCAGAACTCAAGCGATTAATACTCGGATAATGTTTATCTGCAGTTTCTTTGACGACAAATAAGAACGACTAATCTTCGGATTTTTAAGTAGCTGTTTGTTTTTGCAGGCAACTTTTCATTGGATCTTTAAGTAACTTCGTCTGTATTGTAAGTGAACTGTTACGTTGTTTATTTTATTTTTTGCTTAAAATTTCAATTAAATGTTATTTATTTCTTAGAATATTTCCTTACGTCCCATTCAATATTTAAGATGAACAAATATCGAAAAAGAAATTTTATTTTATCGTTGAGGTTTATCGCCTATTTTCAGCAGTATATTATAAAAACAACTAGAAAAGCTAGAGAAAATTGATACCATAGCAATCTTGCTATTCGCAAATTTTGTGATCAATTGGAAAGATTTTAAGATTTAATAAAATTTAAAAATATATCACCGAACAAATAAATGAAATCTGCACATAAGAAATATGTTAAAATAAACAGTAAATATCGTAATTAGACATGGGAAAATAATAAAAAAACTAATAAAAAGAAATTCATGTTAAAAATAGAAAAGCTAGTAGAGACCCCCTAAAAAAAGATGAAAACATAATTTATATTTTGGGGCGTTAAGAAAAACTGAATATTGAATTAAAATGTTTATCCAGTTCTATTTTAACATTATCTTCTCCAAGCATTTTCTCAGAAAAAAAAAGGTATATCAGAATCTTCTTTCTAATTCATCGAAATGAATCTTAATATAGATAATTCAATAATTATTCTAGTTAATATATGATGAATAAATTTAAGTATATTACACTATATAACACGTATTTTATTGAATATCTTACGCTTGATTCTAGGAAATTTGTGAGCGCTTAACGTGATTTTTCTCCATCTGGTATTAATTCTTGTCAACAGACTATGTGCGATGTTATATTTATTATATTGAACACTTCGTATTTGAAATAGACACCCAGCTTTATTTTATTTATTAAGTATTATATGTTAAGTCTAGTCGTAATACTAACTAATAAATAAAAATTGATGGTCTGTTTCAATATTTGTAATAACAAGTATACGCTATAAATTTTATGTAGTAAAAATGTCGTATTAAAAATTAATCCTTTAATTTTTTAGAAATGTGTGTATATATATATATATATATATATATATATATATATATATATATATATATAAAATTTGAATTATTTTATTATTTTATATCTTAATAAATTGATACCCTTCATGGTAAAAATGTGTGTGGCTGTACCAGTTTTGATTGCGTCGTTGATGAGGTCATCATCAATTATTTCAGTAGGTTGATGGGTAAAAATCTATTCGGAATATTATTTGTAAGTGAATATTTTTCCATGTCTACTGGTTTGTATCTTTAGACCGTTTCTTTAACGTTTCATATCGAATCAGTAGCATATTGTAGTGTTTCGAACGTATTAATGTAAGTTCTTCGTCTACATGGTTGGAGGCTAAATATTCTAAATTCTCTTAGATAAATACCTAAATGTTCAAGAGGAACTGCCTGATCTGCCTCAATGGGAGAAATCTTCATAATAAAGATTTCATTGTGCAGAATATTCAAAATACTCTCACGAAGAGTGGAAATTAATGCATAAAAGATTTCACAACTCTAGAATTCTTCCTCCATAGTCAGCCTAGATACATATCAGCCCACCCTAGTAGAGGAAACAAGCATCAGTTTCTAATCGAAGCCATGTAAATTCCCTTTCTACTGCTACATTACACGAACACGTCCACAGACTTTTATTACATTAAAAATAATTGAATATTCCTAGAAAACGAAATTTAAATTATTAGAAAAAAAAGAAAAGAAAATATTAATTGTAATATTTGTAAATGTATAATTATTACGATTTAATTTATAAAATACTCGATAATTATATAGAGATTTAATAATCTTGAATTTCGTGTTTATAACTTTGTTAATGAAACAATTTTTATTTCTTTTTCAGAATGGAAGAGGAACTCACAAATGTATTTGAAAGCCCGCCCGAGGATGCGGAATCAGCAAGTGATTCTGGTAGGGAAAATACCCTCCAGATTCCTGATGGCGGTTGGGGTTGGGTCATTTGCTTTGCCGGATTCATGATTAATTTTATTGCTGGAGGTCTATTTTCTGGAACTGAAATTTTTCACTGGGGACTGATTCTTCTATATCAAGACACTTTTTATAAAACTGCCATGGTCGAGATTATTTTCGACTTAATCATGATGTCTGTTGGTAAGTTTCCAAAATTTCTGAACTCCAAATAACTCGCAAAATATACATTTTTTTGTTGTTGTTGTTGCTGAATTGATTTAATTTGTTATTTATCAGGTCCGATTGTGCTGCTTCTTTTGATGTTTAATGTAAGCCATCGCCAGATTATCATTTGCGGAGGGTTTATTTCTGCCGTCTCAACATTTACCTGCATTTTTGTTAAAAAGGTCGAATTACTTTACGTTCCATATGGAACTATCTCAGGTAAGAAATACATATTTTATGTAAATTCATTTTGTTTCCACTTGTCTCATTATTATTTTGTAATTGTTGAAATTTCAACAGTAATTCATATTTATTCACAGTAGATCAACTGTGATCAAATTTTCTCAAATACCCAGAACCCTTCTCAATAATCTTGAAGATTTTATTTAGGGGCGCAGAATTAACTAATTTCAGCTCAGAACTAATTTCAACTCGGAACTAATTAATGAAAGTTGCAGAAAAGATGAATTCTGAATTATCTTACCTACTAAGGATTTTTAATGCTAAATTAAAAAAAACTTAACACCAAGTCTATTGCATTCTGTTTAGGAATTAACGGAAATCAAAGTTATCAAACTTTGATTTTAAATCGAGTTGAAATTAGTTACGAGTTGAAATTAGTTACGAGTTAAAATTAGTTCAGTCATTCTTTATTAATACTCACATCTAGATAATTAGATTCCTTTATTGGATTTATATTTAGAATTTCAAAGTTCGTAAAGAATTTGTGATTTTCTATTCAAAATGTTTGATTATTATTTATGCTTTAAAATATTAATTTTCTGTATGAATAATGCAAATCATTTGCACTTTTCCCAATGAACCTACATTCCTTCTCGGTCGTATACTTAAAACGTCGGAGGAAATAATTTATGACATCTATTTACTATAATTTGTGTACACTCTTGATTTTTACACAGGTCGTAAGTAGATAGAAAATCTACCGATCAAGTCACACAATATATTCTCAATACACCAACAACGACTTTCCTTCTTATGTGATGACAACCTAGTTACCCAGTCTGGATGTTTGCAACCCTCCTTGCTATTCTCTCAGTCCAATTATTGACAAGAATATATGTTAAATTTCTAGGAGCATCATGACTGATCTTTCATTTGTTTGAATCCTCACAAATGGATCATCTGGCATATTTAAATAAAACTATTTTAATTCCTAAGACTTAATCAGCAAACATTTGTTTTTGAATGGCCATTTTTTATTCGTTTGTGGACTTCCCATTGGGTTATCTGTACACTCGTTTTAAATGCTTTTAATGTTGCCATATGAATATGAAACGGCAACGTTTTATTTTTGAAACAGCAACGTTTTATCTGTTTGAATTGTTTACACTTGATATTCGTATTCAGGTATAACGTTTTTAGTTATTTTTTTTTAATCCAAGAACTGATTCTATGAATATCATTTTTTTAATCAGAATATTTCATTTGTTTCCACCGTTCACATTGAATCATCTATCACAAAGTCTTCATTCGCAGGGAAGGTGATAGCCTCAGTTTTGTGGGCTTTTAAAAGGTATTGTGTTTATTGAATATCTTCAAAAGGGCCAAATCATCAGTGGTGTGTATTATACCAACTTGCTGAGACAATTAAGAAAGACCAAACAACCAGGAAAACTGACGAAATGAATTTTACTTCATCAGTTCACTGCTCCAACGCACAAGTCCTTGGTTTCAATGACTGTTGTGTGTGGCTTTAAACTGGTTGATCCCCCCCTATTCTCCTGGTTTGGCTCCATTTGACTATGATGTGTTCCTCAACAGGAAACAACATATGGCTTGGAACCGGTATCGCAGTAATAAAGATGCCATATCTACTGTTGATGAATTCTTTGACCAACAGGACAAATGCTTTATCACCAATGTGACAAAAGCACTGCAATTCCGATGAGAAACGCGTATAGACTGCAAGGAGAACTATGTGGAAAAATTAACCTCATTTTGCCACATTCCATGAGAGTAACTTAGTCCATGAACTTATCAGCCGGGCCTCGTATGTATCAGCATGTGTAATAAATATATAGGAAATTATGCATAAATAATTATGTGGGTTCTGTCTGTCGTTATGGTGATGATGCTTCTATTTTTTATCACCATAACTGCGGATGTGTTATTAACGATTGTGATCATGATAATGGTAATATTAGATGTGATATTATTATTGATGTATTGATAGTAATTGATGCGTTATTGGTTATGATGAGCAGTAATGTCATCCATAATAATTATGGAAATAATGGAAAAGATAACCACGATAAAACAATAATAACAAAAAAGGAATGAAAAATAAATAGTTAATGACTTTATAAAATAAATGAATTAATAAAAGATTATAATAACCATGGTAATGATGCTAATAGTTGTGATAATCATAATAATGATAATGATAAAGATAATGATAAAAAGCAGTACTAATGGTGGTAGTGGTGGTTATGAAGTAAATTGTTCTTAAAGTGTTAACAACAATACTAATAGTGAAAGTAATAGTAGTAGTCACAAAATAATAATTTTGGTGTGTTAATGATTATATCTTTCGTGATGGCCGTGCTAATTGTTATGTGCAGTGATTGTGTATGGGGTGGGTGGTGTTAGTGTTAGTAACAGTGTTGGTAGTGTTATTGTTTCCTGTTGCTGGTTATGTTTTTGTGGTATGAAAAAATAAAACTTTTTGTTTAAATATCCCGAAAGGGTGAAACTCAAGATTAAACTACTATCTATGCTACCGAATATATTAGCTCTACCACAAATATTAAGCACTTTCCATTAAATACCGCGCATACTCTCTCTCACACACATACATACAAACACACACACACACACACACACACACACACACACACACACACACACATATATATATATATATATATATATATATATATATATATATATATATATAATATAGTTTTAAGGTGTGCTATATTTTAGGGATAAAGTGCTCAATATCAGCGGCCTGACGATTGCGTCTAGCATGAAACAGCGTGTCGCCTCTGAGTGTTGACTTCAATCTTTACTTATATATATATATATATATATATATATATATAATTTCGATAAACGTGCAATCGATTTACAAATTCATGAATTATTCACACAAAAACAAATGCAAGGTTAATGATTTGATTGGCGAAATCCATCATCGCAAACAATTCAAATAATATAAAAAAACCTCGTTTCCGTTATGAATGAAAAGATCCTTGTTTTTTGTTTTATTTGAATTCATGATGGATTTCTCGCCAATTAAATCATTAACCTTTGCATTTGTTTTTGTGTGAATAATTCATGAATATATATATATATATATATTACATTACATTTAAAAATTATAAATCCTCCCTTTTGCCCGGATGCAGAAACGATCGCGTTTATGTATCCGGGCAAAATGGAGGATTTATAATTTGTCATCATGCAATCTATACACCAACACATGTTCAGATGATACGCTTAACCTTTACATAATACTTCAAAATATGATCTACGGAATTATGTTCCTTAATTCATTCGTATTATTTCATAAATCAAACATTTTGACTTTCATGGTCTTTTCTTTTAGTCACAAAACCTGTTCACTGACTAACCAGCTTTCCATAGTGCTGCTCTCATTCATTCTTTCAGGTTGTTGCGTTGGACTCGCCTATTTTTCCGTTAATACCATCGTTGGACGTTATTTTAAGAAGAAACGAGCTTTGGCTGTTGGAATCGCACACAGTGGAATTGGAATTGGTGCATTTGTTTTAAGTTATTTATTAGGACAAAGTATTTCCTATTATGGTATGAGAGTAACATTTTTATTTATAAGCGGATTGTTTTTAAGCTTTATTGTCTATGGAGCCTTATGTCGGCCACTTAAGACCGGAAATACAAAGAAGAAAACGAATGGTAAGTGAATTCAGAACAAATTTTCAATGAACTCAGTAGCTTGTCAGCGAAATATTGCATGATTAATCACACTGTATAATAAATGATTATCCGTTAACTTTCAGCTTCAACGAACATTATTCAATATCCATTGGTTAACTAAATTAATTCTTTGTCAGCTTTTATTTTAGTCAAGCGAACTGCAATTAATGATGTATACAGAATTCCTATATTGATTAATTCATATGCTTTCTAGAGATTATCAACATTTTTGGGTAATTTAAAGTCAGAAAATATTCTTAGATTGTAATAATATTTTTGAGATAATAATGGTTTAGTGATACACGTTAACCTAATTAACCTACAGCTGGAGGGAAAAGATGTGGATTTATATTTTTACCATGGTTATATGCACGTAAGGAAATATAACTCAACGAGTATTGAAACTCGGTTCTCCTATCTCCAAATCGGGGGGCAGAATTCATTAGACCACCCGCACATTCAAGATTGATGCATATGGGATTCCCATATGATCACCAATCTACGTACTGAACATGCACAACTTTGCTTAACTTCAGTGTTCGTACTGAGACCGTTGTTTTAAAGTGGTGATGATGTAAACATTTTCATATGCCATTCAAAATTATATATATATATATATACATATCTACATCTATATCTACACACACATATATATATATATATATATATATATATATATATATATATATGTGTGTGTGTGTGTATATATATATATATATATATATATATATTTGCATATAAAAAGTAAGAAGGTAAAAATGAGAAGGAAGAGGTTAATAAATATTAATGTATATATGTATGTATATGTATTTGTGTATATTTATTATGTATGCATATATATATATATATATATATATATATATATATATATATATATATATGGTATATGTATGTATGTGTCCTGTTATATATTGTGTATCTAAATTTATATTTAAGTATATTTCTGTCTGTATGAATGTGTTTATATATGTATGTTAGGGTACATGTATATTGGTGTGTGTATGTATATGTATGTATATTTATGTATGTATATGTATGTATGATTATATATGTATTTAGTTGAATGTCGTTGTATTTATATGTTTGTACATATATACGTGTACTTGTTATGATGGATAGGTATTTTTATGTATATATTGATATGTATATATATTTGTGCATATATTTATATGTATATATATAAGTGTATATATGTATATTTCTGTTTGTATGTATATATGTATGTTGGGGTACATATATATTGGTGTGTGTATGTATATGGATGTATGTTTATGTATATATATGTATGTTTATTTATATATGTATTTAGTTGAATGTCGTTATATTTATGTGTATGTACGTATATGCGTGTACTTGTTATTATAGATAGGTATATATATATATATATATATATATATATATATATATATATATATATATATATATATATATATTTTTAATTCATCGAGTCTGATAGAAACCTCATCAGAATGCAGAAAGCACTGGACGGCCGTTTCGTCCTATATTTGGGACTCATCAGCAGTGCGTATCTACTACCGAGAATTGAAACCCTGACAGGTTGTCAAGCGAACATCATACCAACTGTTCGCTTGACAACCTAACTGTCAGGGTTTCAATTCTCGGTAGCTGATGAGTCCCAAAAAATATAGGACGAAACGGCACTCCAATGATTTCTGCATTCTGTTGAGGTTTCTATCAGACTCGATGAATTAATTAAATATAATTATCAAATCCTCTTACTAATTACTATATATATATATATATATATATATATATTTATGTATGTTTGTGGATGTATATGTGTGTGTTGACACCTATTATATATCAGATTGTTGGTGTGTATGTGTAGGTATGGAAAATGTGGTTTGTCATTACTGCCATATGAGTTAATCTATGTGTGTGTATATACGTTTATGTTTATGTATTGGTGTGTGTATATATGTATATTTATGCGAGTATGTGTGCATAAATGTGTGTATATATATGTGTATATATGTATGTATACTTATTATCATAAATGTGTATATGTATGTATATTTATATGTATGTATTTCTTTGTATATATATATATATATACATATGTATGTATACATATATATATGTATATATATTTTATGTATTTATATGTATGTATTTCCTGTGTATATGTATTTATATGTGGGTGTATGTGTATATATATATATATATATATATATATATATATATATATATATATATATATATATATATATATATATATATATATATATATATATATATATATAGAGAGAGAGAGAGAGAGAGAGAGAGATGTATGTATATGTGTGTTGCTTTATGTTTGCTGCCACGTGTATATATGTGTATGTATATATATACGTATGACTATACACTTATTTCTGTAGGTATTTCTTTTTATCTTATTTTTCTTCACCTAATATATAATAAAACTATTATCAACTTATATGATTAAAAATGTTTTTATAGATATTTGTAGATTTGGAATTTTCGTTTTTTAATATATCAAATAATATTATTTTTTACCATTTTTATATTTGTATATTTTCTCTCTTAAGTTATATTTTAATAAGTGGCTAGCATTTATTTAATGACACTTTCAGTCTTAAATATTTATTGGTTGTGGTATCTGATTGTCTAGGTCAATGTCGGGGGATGTGTGTACATGTATTTATCGGTGTCTATGTGTATGTAGAGTGTATTCACTCAATATGTATGCATGTATGTGTTTGTTTCCCCCCTTTTTTTTCATAAAGGGCCGTGGAGATATTCTCTGTCTCGTCACTTTTTTTTGTGTGCATATATATATCTAAATATGTCTGGATGCTTATGTATTATAATCTAATTGTGTTTGTGTTGTTTTACGCGTGATTTTACGACCCCATTCGCACACTTGGAATTAAAATGTATACATGTATATTGTCGGAGGACCGGATGGAGTAACGTTTTATTCTAACGTAATTTCAACGAAGAAATAAATTGAATAACATAATGTATTTCCCCTTTTCTCCTCGTTAATTTTATAATTTTAAACTTAATAGTGATTAAATTTTGATTTTAAAATGGGCAGTTTTTAATTTTAATATCAAATTCTATCATATAATTTAATAATTATTGGTTAGAATAAATTCTTTTTTTTTAACTTTACCCGTATTTTAACGATCTGAATAGCTATTATAACATAACTTCGTTGTCAGGCTTTTTGAATTTTCCTATACTTGTATTTTGATTAGTCATTCTAGCTTTTGGAACAACGTTTTCCCCTTGTGAAAGATCGTTAACTAATTTGAAGCATTTAAAACCATTTGTTTTGCATTCAACATCATCACTTGATAAGACAGCGGGAGTGTTGAAACAAAATGGCTATTTTTGTAGTGATTTTATAACATGTCTATGTTATAAATTTTCTAAATAAATAATTATATATATATATATATATATATATATATATATATATATATATAAAGTACATTACGAAAAGGACTTCAAATTAGAGGAAAGACTGACATACAGGAAATGGTTATTGAATTCAGTGGGGTTGAACTGCCAACATTGAAACGCGTGAAATAAGAGACAATTATAATGATCAATAATTTCTTTTTCTTACATTTCATTGAATTTTTACCAAAAACTTTATGTTAAAATTGAGTGAAATTTCGACTCAATGCATTAAACAGCTCACATTTGCATAATAACGATGTAAAAATTTTAGAAGTTCATGAATATGGATGTAATAATTAGAATGAAGTGATTTGGGAGAAAGATTAGACCGAAATAGGAAAAAAACAAGTTGCTTTCATTCAAGACAGTCTAACAAGAAATATAATTTTTTCAACCAAAATGCTCTCAGAGCTAGAAATATAGAAACGCATATATGTATTTCTTACTTTTAACCTCAAGAGATGCAACGTTTCCACTAACATGCAAAGTATTACTTGCAGTCGAAGAGAATGCGAAAACTTTAGTGAGAATGAAGGATGATAGATAATGCTTTGAAATTTTCGTGGGCGCCAGATTTACAGCAAAATAAAAAGAAGCCATCTGGAAATCGTGATTGTGAAATTGTGGAAAGCAACTAAAATTAATAAATCGTCAAAAATTAATAACGATTACAAAGGAAATTGTATAAACTGAACGACCGACATTGAATTAACTGATTGAAGGAGTTTCAGAAAATGCAAATTTCATGTTTTTCTTTTCAATGGCTAATACGAAATTTCTTATTTTAGAAATAATACTGAAATCCATGAAAGTGCTTCAAACAGAAAGGAATTTAGGATTCGAGCCGGACGAAGAGACAATAGAAAATCAAGAATTGATGCATGTAAATAACAAATTTTGTTCTCTTTCATTGAATGAATATTTCGTTTTGATTGGTTAAAAAAGCTAAACACCTATAACACTTAACATGTTGAATCGTTAATTCAAAAGGAAATATACGTGGTTTCAGCCGTATCAAAGAAAGTATGTACGCAAGAATCTAATCATGGAGGTGAAATATGTCTGTTTTTGATCGTATTAAACAAAGTCAGTACATTGGACACTTATGGAGATGAATTAAAGTCTACTGTAACTGGTTTTGAGCATATTAAACAAAGTACATAATACCCTTAACATCGAGAAGATGAAATATAGTTGGTAGTGATCGCATTAAACAAAGTACCTATGATAATTGGAGAATTGTTAAATTAAAGTGAAATATATATAGTTTCGGCCATGTTAAACAAATAAGCAGATAGGGAACCTATCATGTTGAAGAGTTAAAAAAATTTTATATATATATATACCTGGTTTTGTCCGTATTAAACAAAGTAAGTACCTAAGATCAATATATATATATAATATAATGGTCTTACATTATTATATCTAGCTTTGACCACGTAAATGTAAACAAACAGGCCGATGAATTCCTGAAGGAAGAAACTTATCGCACGAAGTTTTCTTTTCACTTTGTCATACAGCTTACCTTCTTTGGGTCATGTTATTCTGTCTTTTCTATAAATATTCTTATGGCAATTGTTCTAATGAGATACCCTCATTGGTACCGCGACCGCATGAATTTAAGTGCCCTTCTAGATCGGCAATTACGTCTCCAAATATGACTACAGTACTTCATTCTGGCTCTTTTAAAGGGAGAGGATAGAAGGAGTACTTACTGGAACGGTACAGGATTCCGACGATTTCACCTGTCTCCTAAGTATTGTATGTACGAATTCCACTTGATGTCAGCTGTCACTTTGAGGCCCATCATTCTTTCAAAACATGGCCCGTCCTCGAGAGGGTATCTGTTCATCCTGATTGGTGGTAATTGGAAGTTTTGGCACTCGAGGCATTGAATGTTACCAGACAGTTTTTACCCATCGTGTAGTTTGTGATAGGTCGGAAGAGAAATCTGTCGCCAATCTCTGACTATCGATAGTGTTAGAGATGCGCCCGTATATAATCGTATCATCGGCATAAATGTTTAAAAAGAATCTCTGTACATTCTTAGGCAGATCATTTATGTAGATCAAAAAGAGAGTTGGTCCATGGAGTGACCTCATGGAAGACGCTTGTATTGCCTGCTACGGCTTCGGGGGACTGACCATTATTACCTTCAAGGACCTACCTGTTAGCAAGGATATTCTGATCGGGAAGACAGAACTTGTGTAATAATTCTTTGTGCTAGACCTTGTCAAAGGCCTTCGGGATATCTAATGCTATGGTCATCGAAGTGTGTTTGTTGTCAACAGTCTCATTGATTCTGTGATTGATGGTGGTTAGGATGTCGACAGTGGATCGGACTGACCGAAATTCATACTGCTCATCGCTGAAGAGATTGTTTTTTCTCGACGCTTGATGACATTCTTATTGATTATGTCCTCAAAAAGCTTACTGATATTATTGGGGAGACTGATAGGTCTCGACTGAGAAGGAGAAGATCACACGCCCGCGTTCTTGAAAGCAGGGCATACGCTTGACACGTTCCACAGTATTGGGAAGCATTTCGCCTTCAAGCAGCGATTGAATAACTTTTCTAGAATTGGAGATAATTCCGGGTGAATATTCTTAAGTAAAAGCACTGGAATTTTGTCTGGGCCGGCGACTTTATTAGGATCAAGGCCTTTGATAAATCTAAAGATTTCTTTTGTTGTAATGGTAATATAATTGAAATTGTGTTCAGTGAGTCGTGTCATTTAGAATCAAAGAAGAATATATTACTTCGGAGCCATTTATAATTGTGGGCACAACTGCTTTACCTCTGCCCATGATTTGTTTGGTGATATTCGAGAATTCACGGGATTCAATTTGTTTTTGTCTTTTTCAAACTTAGACTGGACTGCTCTTGAATGACTGCACTTAACATTTTTTAAACTTTTTTGCAGCGATTGCGAACAGTTCTGAAAATAGTGAGGGTAGAACTACATCATTCCTTGCAATTCAAGCAGTGGTTTCGGTGAGTTAGGACTCCAGCATCTTCAGGGTTGACTGTTTGATTTTGCTGGAAATTTTGTAGAGTATAAAGCTCTCCTTTCCGGAAAGAATCAAGTCAGTAACAAGGACAGCAACTTTGGAGGCATAATGCTTAAAGAATATTGATAGGGATCTTTCATCATGTAAGATCAAAAGCTGTCCAAGTCTGCCTTGGCATAGCAAAAAATCGTTCTATGAAACGGTACATCAGGAGATGCGATAATCGTACCTGAATGGAAATACATAAATTTTTCTAAGCATTTATCATGCCATGGGGTTAGGAAGAGTTCAAGGAGATTCGCCTAATGTCTCGTCGCGTTTGGGTCACCGATGATCCGGTCAGTTCATAGACGATGGTGAAGTCTCAATATCTGCCTTCAACACACACACACACACACACACACACACACACACACATATATATATATATATATATATATATATATATATATATATATATATATATATAAATACTTTTTCTTGGTATAATTAAAATCCCCAGTAAACAAGAGCGCATCATCTGTTATGTAGTGGTTTCACAGTGGAGGCTTGTATTTGTACTAAGTCGGTTCCTAAAATAGGTTCGACGTACAAAACGTTGATATAATAGGTAATGACGCAGTAATCCAGTTGTGGTGGCTGATACTTTAATATCCGACTAACGGTCGTCCGATATCGACTGACTGACCAACTCACTGAACTCCCAGCCGACTGCGACTGCTACTACTCCTACTCCTACTTATTATAGGTAGGAGAGTATATTAACTATAGAATAGGTGTGTTCCAGTATAACATCATCACACCGCTTTAGTGGCAAGTATGTTGTCTTTTACAGCGTGGAGTTTTCGACCCAACGGTTTCAAATTTATGGTTTTCATTCTCCTCTCTCGCTATCTAAGTATTTCTCTGCTCTCGTTATCTCCATGCTAATTAAGGGTCACTTGAAAAGATGGATTCATATCTTTCACAAAATTATTTGTTCCAACTTAAACGCTAATTCCACATTCCTTTTATATGAACACATCCACTCTGTGTTTGTGGCTTGTAAAGTAAGTTTTAACAATATAGGATGAATTTTACAACATATACTTATAAATTCTTCAGGTATTGATCTGTCTGTAAAATTAGCCATGAACTCGACTTGATTTTCAGAGGAGTAATTCTGGTGGCTCTATGCATCATGTAAATTTGGAAACTGCTCCTGCAACAAATACAAATGGCACATTTTCAAGAAAATGCAAATCCCTCTGCAAGATCATATTTGATCCAGTTGTTCTGAAAAATCCCGGCATGCTGTTGCTGATATTTATTTATTTCTTTGAGGGAGGTAAGTTACAGAATTGAATTAACAATTAATAAATTGAAATATATTAATTTATATTAATATGAAAATGTATTTTTGTGAAATGTGAGTCAAAAATAAACCTGAGTATCTTGTAACAAGTAGAACAAATAGACAAACTATATAATAACTATCACTGTCTATTAATTTATATATTCCCTGTCCTACGTGCCGTGGAAAGGGAGGTAATCCAACTTTAATTTATGAGTGATTACTTTCTTTACTCATTGTAATAAAATATTAATCTCCATGTAAAACAAAATTATTTCCGGGGCAAAAAGCCGTTTAAATAAACTCTTCTCCTACGCCTACATTTCTTATAATTCTAGTCTTATTTTTTCAAGCTTTTTATATGAGGCACGCAGATAACTTTCTGTTTCACTGTTATATTAGACGCATACGAGTAATTTTTTAACATTTAAAGACATCGAGCAAAAAACGATTTATTCAGGAGTAATCGATGAATTATAGATACCATTGAACGTCTAAAAATATAATGTGAACGGATTAAACGGTTCATTGGCTTCCATTTTAGTTGCGCATTCTTTATTTCCGGTCTATTGAATTTCAGTATATTGCTTTAAGACTTGTTTCATTGTATTACAGTTTTCTAAAAAATGCTGTCATTTTTGACGGCATGGGTAAACGAATATGAAACAATTCTACACGACAAATTGATAACATTCTACTTAGAATAGTTCTTTGTCTAATAGTAGGGATAAATTCACTGTAATCGGTTTAGAATGTGTTTTGCATAGACTGTAAATCAAATTCTAACCTTTCGTAGTGATCTATACGTTAACGATTTTATGGTATCATTAGTTTAGAGAAGCTTTTCAAGGACATAAAAGTAAAGACTATCCTAGTGTACATGAATCCGTTCTAGAGTCATAAATGGAAAGTTATTTAAGCATTGAACCAATAACATAATGGATTCTTTACAAGCCATGTATTAAAAAACTGTTTGGCATTAAATAACCGACAGAGTTGATATGCCGTTACAGCAGATGAAACAAAAAAATATTTATTTTATTTCTGTTTATTTATCTTTGCTGAAGGTAACAAAGAACTTCATACAACGCTGTATTGGAATATCATACTAACCAGAATTTGTTTAATGTACTGTAATGTAATTTACTGTATATAAGAAAGTGAACATCGAAAAACAAGACTCTATTTAGCGAATTTACACAGGCAAGTGCATAGATAGATTTGTCATAACGTTTGTTCATAACGTTTGTTCATGACGTTTATCGTTAAAGCATGCCTTTGCAACAACCAACAAATTGTTTTCAAATTTTAACACAAAGCAAAATAACTGTAGGTTTTCAATTTTGTCAAGTATAATTGATTCATTCTGTTTTTATCCAGAGTGTCCTTTTTACATGCCGTTCCCTATGCTTGTATAATGTGTTTCATTTTATGATCCATTGATGTCATCATTCAGTTGACCGGTTGATTCTTAGGATGTATAATTTGACATGTTATTAAATACAAAATATTTATGCAAATAGTCTGCTAACATATTAATTTTATTCTTTACCAGTGTCACAGAATAAAGATACAATCATAAAACTTAAGCTTGCTTTTTCATACTGATATAGATGATGTTGGTCATTTGACGTCCGTTAAAACTTATAAAAAATGTATGTTTAAAAATGTCCTGAATTAAATCCTTGTGAAACGTGTATATATATATATATATATATATATATATATATATATATAGTTTATGCAAAACTAGGTAAGCCGTATGGGTAGACCCAAAGTTTAACCACCAAATATACTCTTTAAAGTAATGCGAAATAACAGCGTCCCAGAAATTGAGCGAAACCTTCTCTCTTCAGGATTGTTTTATTGTAGCTTCTTCCATTTCTGTCGACTTTCCTCTTCACCACTTACCCATCCATATCTAAAGATAACATAAGTTAAGCTAAGCGTTTTTCTGGCCCACACCAAGTGGGGTTAGGGATAAAGAATTGAAATGATACATCTCATGTCTTCTCCCCCCCCTCACTTCCTCACTTGGTTAATTTACATATGCTTAATACGGCCCGTCAAAAATGTGTAAATTTCTTTTCATTTCAACCTTTGGAAGTAAAGTCTGATGATCCAGAGCCCTTTAAAAGGGCTGTGGCGGAATAATTTATTACATGGAAACTTAAAGTGGTCTGTTTTTTTTCATTCAATCTCTCTCTCTCTCTCTCTCTCTCTCTCTCTCTCTCTCTCTATCTATCTATCTATCTATATATATATATATATATATATATATATATATATATATATATATAAGCAAATATATGGATATAGATCCGACAGTATGAAGAAAAATATACAGAAAAAACAAACAAAAATCTTAATATGCAATTATGCCGTATTAATGTTAATATAAAGTCAAAGTCGGACGTTTCGGTCTATTTTAGACTATCTTCAGGACATTTTCATTTAAACATAATTAACATTAGAACATTTAAAAATTCAACACGAAAAGCCGATGGAACATAAGAGCACAACTAATCCAAACAGATAACTGAAATTTTTATATGTTCTAATGTTAATTATGTTTAAATGAAAATGTCCTGAAGATGGTCTAAAATAGACCGAAACGTCCGACGTTGACTTTATATTAACATTAATACAGCATAATTGCATATTAAGATTTTTGTTTGTTTTTTCTGTATATTTTTCTTCATATATATATATACATAATCTCACGTGATGAATATATGAATGTTAAAAATGCATAAAAATTCGAAAGATGCTTAGAAATAGTGCCATCTTGAATTCTTTCCTTTCTAAATTTTTTTCAGCCTCCGTAATGGTTACAGTTTACACTCCAGATATGATTGACTACATTGGAATGAGGCGTGGACACGGAGCCTTGATAATTTACATATACTGTGGAGTTCTTGGGATTAGCCAAGTTATTTTTGGGATGCTCGCTGACCTACTTCATATCCCTACAAGTTACATTCTCATGGCTTCATTGCTTGTCTCATCCGCCGTTTGTGTAGCATTTACATTCTGCCATTCATTTGCTTGGTTAGTGTTCTGCATATCTCTGTCCGCCATTTGTCGCGGTAAGTCTTTGAAAATAAACTCAATTACTTCATTATTTTTATTAGCATATGATATTCTAATAGCATTCATTTTTTACGGGCGAATTCTTTTATCAATCATTTCCTCCTTATTAGAACATTTCGACTGCTTTAAACTTTGGACTTCTTGGTCTATTTTTCCATTTCTTCGATTTTCCACAATTTCCTATTATTTGTCGCTTTTAAATATCTTTGTCTCTTTCAACTGCTAAACCTTACTCTGCTATCAATTTACTCAATCTCGCCAGCTAGGTCATGTGATACATTCCCCTGTTTCTCTTGTCTTTAATCTCGTGATTATCAAGTTTTCCAAGCAATGTTTTATCATCTCTTTCTAATATTATGTATAAGTGTCCTTTTTTTATTTTCATTTTCTCGAGAATTTCGTCGTTGTTCACAAGTTCATTCCTTCTGTAGAACCCCATTTCTGTTGCTTGAAGTTTCTTCTTCATCTGTAAGAAGAATTTTCCAGCAGTCACAGACACATAATAGGACTGATATTACGTAAGAGTTCATTCAGTACTCATTTCTTTCTTTCCAAATAATTTTTTTCTTTTTCGTAATACTTGGCTTAGTTTTTTGAAGGCATCTCTCTCTCTCTGTCTCTCTGTCTCTCTGTCTCTCTCTCTCTCTCTCTCTCTCTCTCTCTCTCTCTCTCTCAATGCGCCTACGGATTTTAATTTAGAACATTCTTTCCTCTGTTAAAAAACTTTCCAGATATTTAAATTTTTGCAATTAGTTTGTAACATCGATACAAATTAGCTACAGTACATTTGTAGTGCTCTATCTTATATCATTCTGAGCATAAATACATTATTTCTTGTTTCAAATGAACCATCGCTCTTCTTTTATTGATAGGGCTGCGTGTTCTATTCATCAGAATTCGGATGATAAGTTTTGTTATTTGTCCCATTACGTTGATTATCCGATGGAATTCACGTTCGTTTGTATTTGGCTTCTTAAATAGTGCTGTTGCGGGCCCGGTAGCATGCAGTGCTGGTTTACTAAAAGGTGGCCTTGTGCCAGACACTACTTATGACTACCGAATCCACTAACAAAGTAAAAATAATAAATGCGTGATCTTTAGTGAGAAAAAAAGGGTCATTTAACACATGCATAAAAATAGTAAAATATAGATAGCCAGGAGAAAACGACAAAACAAATCTGGTGGAAAGCATATATGAAATTTTATTTTAATAACAAAGAATCTTGTCTCAACAGTGGAGACTATCAGAAAAAGTAAGGACTGTTCTTAGCCAGTAGGCAGATTGTATTATGTAGTGACTAGTAGAATGTTAAAGTTCCGCGCCAAAACAGAAAACCAAGATGGCTAAGGCGGGAAAAGTTTCTTCAGAATGAAAGTTCTGGAATGTGGTCTTCTTTTACAAAAGATGTAAGCATACACAGCAAGGAAAAATACTCACTGCGAGGTTTGATAATGTGTGTGTAATGTTATCTTTTTTTTAAAACTGGTTCGTAAAGGTTAGAATTCAAAAGAGGTGTATGAAAAGTTCATCAATCTTCAGTGAAGAAAAATTCTGAGTTGTTCGCATCAAGACGAGGAAATTAGTCTTGGAAAAGTGTGGTGATGACAGTGTCGTAGACTCTGGTAGAAAATGAAAAAGGTTCAAACATGTTGTTCGCTTCAAGACTAGGAATTGGTCTTGGAAAAGTGTGATGTCGACAGTGTCGATACTTTACGTTTTCTAGTAGAAAAACGGAAGAAGGTTCAAACAAGTTGTTTGAAGAGAAGTTGTAATCACACGACATGTTGAAATTTTGGCTAGTTAAGATATTCCGGCCCGCGTATGGGTTAGGGGCACGGAATAAATGAGTCAACCTTCTAGTTTGAAAGTTGGGCGGCGACTGACTTGAAAAAGGAAGTTTGTCAGTGACGTCAGAGAAATGCGCGAGAAAATTTCAAATTCTGATTATAGACGGTATCAGGAGCAGCCAGCAACCTTCCTCACGTCAGCGGTTTACTGCTATATCTAGCCAAACATGAAAGGAAGGGGTGCAATACGCGCGCACGCGCGCAAAAGGGTGTACTCCACGATTCCACAGTGCTAGGAAAACGTATCTTCTTAGGTCTTGACAACTCTGTACACTGAATATTGTTCTTTTGGGACATGATGTCATCGCAGATTCAATCAAAGTTATCATTGAATAAATTACAAATACAAATAATGACTACACAGGATAAATTGCCAGTAGAATCAAGTATGCTATCTCATTAATTGCGTATCTAATCAATGATGTTAGTAAATACCTTGTTAATACAAACAATGATGTCATTGCATAAAATAATTATCCAAACAATGATGTCATTGAATAGATTGCTGATCAAATCAATCGTGTTACTGCCTAAATTGTTTATCCAATCAATAATGCCAATGCCTAAATTGTTTATCCAATCAATAATGCCAATGCATAAATTGTTTATCCAATCAATAATGCCAATGCCTAAATTGTTTATCCAATCAATAATGCCAATGCATAAATTGTTTATCCAATCAATAATGCCAATGCATAAATTGTTTATCCAATCAATAATGCCAATGCATAAATTGTTTATCCAATCAATAATGCCAATGCATAAATTGATGATTCAATCAATGATATCATTGCATAGCTTGTTTATACAATTAATAAAGTCAATTCATCTTATAATTCTTATATCCACTTCAACGTAGTTCTTATTCGTATCTCAGTGAGAGAGGATTCTCATATTTATTCTCTAAGTACTTCCTAATAATGATTCTTCAATTCAGTTTCCTATTGAACTCATTACGCCGTCAAAGAAAAATGATTTATTACATAATTTCTCCCAGTTCTTCCTATCTAATCCACTTTAGTAACCATTCCTATCCCAAAGGAAGATGATGTATTACATCTTCTTCATAATGATTATTTTATCAGCTCCACCGAATTTATCATTGCTTGCTCAAAGAAAGAGGATGTATTATATTTATTCCTCTTGATTTTTCCTAATAATTGTTGTTCTATCTGTACCACTGTAGTTACCATTTCTATATCAAAGGAAGATGATTTATTATATATATTCCTTTCAATTCTACCCAATTATGGTCGTTCTATCTGATCGTTCAAAATTCAGACAAAAAATATTAATTCTTTTTTTTTTTTTTTGTAGGATTTATCTTCCCTCTTGGAATTGTGCTTGTGGCTTCCATCTTGGGAGTAGAAAACCTGGAGAAAGGATATTCCCCCTTGTGTCTTTTGTCTGGCGTTTCTTACATCATCCACAGAATAATCGCAGGTATTTTAGTTCATTCAATTGTATAATAAAGGTATTTTACATGTATTTACATTGTACATGTATGGGAAGTTAGGCATGTGCATTATATATATATATATATTTTGTTTGCTAGCCCCTTGCATAAATGGTTTTGAATTCCGTGTTAATTTTCCCGTAGAATGGTTGCCAAACAGACACCACTATATATTTAGAGAAATAATAAAAATGAAGATTGCGTCGGCTTTAGATTTATTTAATATTTATTATTGATTTATTTACGCAGATGTGAATATAAATCTTTTCTTTTTTTTACATTTACAGGTTACGTCTGGGTTTGTCTTAGATGGCATGAGTAGAGTTAAATTGAACTAAATACAAAACATATTGCATATATAATGATAAGCATGAAGTATTTAAAAAATATATTCAGTTTGTTTAGTTTCCTACGACATAGTGGCACGAAAATTAATTTGTAAACTTTTCGACATATTATCCATTTTTAAGAAATGTAAAATATAGTTAACAAAACAGGAAAACATTTGTATTATTTGTGATATGTAACTGTGAAGAATTGAAAATGCTGAAAGTGTTTTCCGAATATCTGTACTTCAAATTTCCCACAGAATCATACTCTCCCGATCAGTTGATGAAGTTTATGTGGAAGTGAGGTGAAGTCTATTGCTGGAATTGGTATACAATGTATTGGGCGATATTTATAAATCGAGTTTCACAACAGGATGATAAATATGCCATGTCAAAGGGTGAATGAATACTCTCATGGGATCAACGGACATCTAGTAGATGCAGCCTGCTGCTAAGTATGTATATATATATATATATATATATATATATATATATATATATATATATATATATATATATGTGTGTGTGTGTGTATATATATATATATATATATATATATATATAAATTAATTGATTTAAAATAAATTAAATCAATTAATTTATAATATTAATGCTCTGTAAATTTACATTGAGCACTATTTTGTAAAAATAAAATATCTATCTATCTATCTATCTATCTATCTATATATATATATATATATATATATATATATATGACATCTGGTGAGAGGGAAAACTGGGATCAACCTGCGATAAAAAAAAAAAAAAGAACTGTCCCTTTTGGCACTTTTCAAACCAAACAAATATTCTGTTTCTTTTAAATAAAAAAATCTATACAATCATGAAGAGCTGATCCATGAAATACAGACTAATACATCTGTTCTTAAAAATGAACAGAAATTCAGCTACAATGAGATACAATGAGATACTGATAAGCATCAACAACTCTGCTGGAGGATTTTTGTGGGGGGGATTCTTCTGGGGGTACTGACAAAACGTTCCTAACTAATCTTCTTTTATCTTCAGTTAGGGTAAAAAGAACAGTGGTTTTAGCTGTAACATCATCTGGAATAGCAGCTGCTTCCTTTGATTCCCTTGACATTTAAACTGAAATCCAGTCAATAGAGGTAGAGACCTAGCCAAGGTACTTCAGGTGACTTGCTTCATAGTCGGGGATGAGTGCACTATGGCTCACAAGTGTGCATTTGAGATTTTATACGGAACACTGAAACGTATCAGACATAATCATAGACTCATGGGAGGAGTAACAATTCTGCTCTCTGTAGATATCAGACAAACACTCCCTGTTGTCAAACAAGGAACAGCTTCAGATGAACTTCATGCTTACCTGAAAAGTTCTTATCTGTGGGATCATACTGAAAGATACTTTTTAACCACCAATATGAAAGTCGAACTCAATGGGCATTTAGTGACCTCCTTTTAAAAATTGGAAATGGATAAATTTCACATAAGTAAGATACACAAATTAGTTTTCTTGAAGGTTTAGGCACTCTGGTCGAGAGGATTGAGGATTTAATTTTTAAAGTATACCCCAATATAGCAGATAAGTTCCAAAATACAGATTGGTTGTGTGAGAGAAGAATTTTGGCTCACAGAAATGAACTGTACAGATCATCAATTAGAAGATTCTGTAAGATATCCCAACAGAAGAAAGGACATAACCATCCAATGATACGACTGTAGATCCAGACGAAGCAGTTAACTTCCCTTATGAATTTTTGAATTCTTTGGATCTTCCAGGAATGCCATCATACATGTTGGTATTAAAGCAGTAGTACCATTAATGCTGCTAAGAAATCTTGATACTCTAAAGTTATGTAATGGTACACGTCTTATTTTTTAAGAAAATGTTACCTCACTCATTGGAAGCTCTTATTATAACTGGTCAAGGGAAAGGAGAGACTCTACTGATTCCAAGAATTTAATTGATGCCAAAAGATATGCCTTTTGATTTTAAACGATTGCAATTCCCAGTCAGAGTAAGTTTTGTAATGACTAATAATAAATCACAAGATTAATCAATAAAAGTTACTGGACTTCACCTTATGCAACCTTGCTTTTTTCATGGTCAATTATATGTTGCCTGTTCAAGAGATGGAAATGGAAGGAATTTATTTATACTTGTTCCAAATAAATAAAAAATGTTCATCCTGCTGCTTTACAGTAAGAATTATTTAAGTATCAAACTTTATTTTTATTTCAATTTTTTCTCCAAGGTGTTTTTCATTAATGCAAATAAATTTATTTTATTTTTGTCAAAACCTGTTAAATGTTATTCAGTTTCAATTGTTTAAAATGGCTAAAATCTTAATGTTTAGCTATCTAAATAAATACAATTTTTTCTTTCAGGCTTACAACCAATGTATAAATGAAATTTTAATTTAAAGTTTTTGTTACAAAGATTCAAGTAGTGAATGTATCTTATTTTGCGAAGCGATAGCGAGCAGGCGAAACTTGCCAGTATTTTATGCTTGAGTAATTGCTACATTTATAAAGGATGTATTTCTTCTCATATATTATTTTCTTTTTTCAGGATCTCTGCTCGACGCAACTCAGTCTATCGACGCTGTGTTTTACGTTTTTGCCAGTTTTTTATTTATGGCCTGCATAATGTCATGCGGTATCGTCTACATGCAACGTAACAATAAATTCTCCGAATATCCAGAGAAGGATAATTAAAGGAATAAGAATTTTCACAGTTGAATTTTAAAAGATGTACATGTATCAATTATATATTCTTAATATATTGGCTAGCTTACCATAACTTTTACCTATATTTTGCCCTTGACAAACCCGAATACGCTTTCAAATTCACTTACGCTAACAGCTTTTTCTTCTAAATATTTTATTTTTGTGATGATATTTTGTGTATGATCTAAGCGAATTGAATCCAGTTTTCCTGATTGTAAAGATGCGACCAAAATATCTGAACATTAATTATATTATTAATTAAATCTAAATGAATAAATAAAACCTTTCAGATTAATGTATTTCCTTTACATTTTGTGGTGACGCGATTGGAATTAACTGAAGAAGACATATTTTATTACTGCCTTGTTCATATTGATTCATGAATGTATTTTTTAGATTTATATCGAAATAAAATATAAAATATATCTATTTAAAAATAACTAATAATCTGGGTTTTATTTACGGAGATGCTTACCTAAACAAGATTTATAATTATTAGTGGATTTCATAATTTGTCCAGCTAACGTGATCTGATAAATGCAAATATCAAGTAAAAGACAAATGTTTGCATTTGGAATTAGAATCATTAGTCTTTATATTATTACAATGAGTTTTTGAGTGAGCATTTGAACCGGGACAATTAGTTGTGAGTCATAGCAGAAATTTTTCTAGAGTGAACTGTTATTTCGAGTCTGACGTATACAGAAGTATATATATTCGAACAATGATGGAACAATTTGAGCCTGATCACCAACAGACGGAAGTGTAAATATTCGTAGAGGGAACGATTCTTTCAATTATGAACACTTGTGCTTTGATATAGAATTTTATCTCCTGGAACGGTCTTTTTGCCTTTTGGGAAACCGACTTGAATTCTTCAGTTGCTACCAATGAATCTTTTGTTTCAGAGTATCTTACCCTTTGCCGAAAAGATTCCAGCATTCGCATGCATGGCTGTGGTGTTACTATTTGGGATAATATTCCTATGGCCAGGGCATTGTCTCTCGAGGCCCCTAACTTTTCTTTCACGTGCTTCCATCTTTGTTACTAAACAATGTCACCTATCTCTTTTACCTTTATCTACCCCCCTTTTTACAAGCCTGCAGTATATTAGACGCAATAGCTTTCAGTATAGAAAAGGCACGTTCTCTCCATCTATCTGCAAACATATTTGTTTTCAGTGAATTACATGCTCACCACGACACGTAGCCGAAACATTCTAAAAGTAATGATGATGCTGATATATAGACATGAATTTTGCCATATTTCTCACTGAAATCAGTGACTTCTCTAATCGTTTCCTGAGCCAAAACGATCTTCTCGTCTGGATCTATTTCTTATCTTCTCTACTCGATCTTGCCGAGCTTCGCAATACAGCCCTCTTATCCTATCTATAAGACCTACTGGGACTCATTCATGGATTGTATCTGTGACGCCCCTTCAAACTCTCAATTGAAAATTGAGCCATTGGGGTTTCTTCTTGGGTCAAAACCAGTATGGACGTTTTCATCTCTCATCTCGGAAATACCAGGCGAAACCTCAATCCTCTTCATGGTTCATACCAGCATGCTCAGCCGCCATAGCACACAGGGATCACTATTTCCGGCTATACCAGCGTAACAGCTCTTGTCATAAAATGGGCCTATTTGCTTCTGCACGTAATAAATGTGGCTGAGTCCTCGAAGAAGATAAGTCCATAGTTACTGAGAGAATGAGGCACAGCGTAACCTTTAAAAACTTTGATTCTCGTGATTACTGAGGTATCTGTAATAGGGTACTAAATAAGTGCAAGGTTTCTATTCCCCACTCTTCTAACATTAATCTGCAAAAGTTTAAATACAATGTCAACCGCTATCAATTGTATTCCTGGTTACTTTTTTCTGATTACTAATGTTTCTGTTCCCAATTCTTTCACAGCCTGTCATCCCTTGCGAGGGGTGATACCGATTACACACACACACACACACACACACACACACACATATATATATATATATATATATATATATATATATATATATATACGCTGTTAATTAGATCAAGTAATTAATATATGAATTTTAAAATACGTAACAAAACTAAACAGGCACCGAAACAATGTCCTCATGAAATCTTTCCTTTGTAAATTTCGTCAGCCAACAAAATGGTTATGGTGTATCCTCTAGAAAAAATGTTGATGCTGGAACAAGGAGCCTTGATAATGCCAATATATGGCGGAGTTCTTACGATTAGCCAATTTACTTTTGGAATGCTTGCTGACCGGCTTCAAGTTACATTCTCATGGCTTCCTTGCTTGTCTCATCCGCCGTTTCTATAGCCTTTATATTCTGCTATTCATTCGCTTTTTTCGTGCTCTGCATATCCCTGTTCGACATTTGCCGCGGTAAGCCTTTGAAAACAAAGTAATTTATTTCATTATTTTTATTAGGATAGGACATTCTAAAAGCATTCATTTTTTGTGAAAGAATTCACTTATCATTCATTTCTTCCTTATTAGAACATTTCTGATGCTTTACACTCTTTGCATATCATTTCTGTTTCTTCTTTTATCTGCTGTGTCCCCTCAAGGCATGGTGATCATGGCTCTCCACAATTTCCTGTCATTTGTATCTCTTAATAATTTTACATTTTTGTTATATCTGCTAATTTTTGGTCTGCACAAATTCTCTAGATATGTTATGCGTTTTTCTCTGCCACACTTGTCTTCAGTCTGTGTCATGTGAGTATCAATTTTTCCAAGCCCTCTTTCCTCATTATGTACCCTAGAAATGTCAACTGTCTCTTTCGGATATTAAGTATAAATATCCTTTTCTCTAAAAATGTCGTCGTTGCTTATATATTCCTTTCATGTATTCTCATCATCTTTCTCTAGAATCACATTTCTGTTGCTTCAAGTCTTTTCTTCATATGTACGAGGACTGATATTGCATGACAATTCAGTACTCTTTTCTTTGTTTCTATTCATTCATTTCTGTTTCTTAATTCTTTGCTTAGATTTTGGAAGGCATCTTTCGCTCTTCAAATGCGCCTTCAGATTTCAGTGTCGCACTTTGCGTTTTCTGTTGAAACAATAGAAAGATATTTATATTTTTGTACTGGTTTTATTTTGGTATCTCCATTTGGTATATCCATTCCCAAATATGCCACATCCATTATCTCTGCGTTTCACTCTCATTACTTTTTAGATTAATTTCTATTCTTGTCGTTCGAATGATATATGACCAAAGGTAATACAGAAGAATAAAGCGACTGAATAAATCATTATATAAACATAGCTCAAAGCATGCAATTAAAACACTGATAACAATGATATCTGGAAGCTTCTGAATGGAACAGAAATTCAGATTTGACGTTCGAAACCCTTGCAGAGACAACGGATGAAACGTAAATAGGAAAGAATGATCATTCCCCATGGTAAGAGATTTTAAAGATAAAATCTGAGGATGGACCAAATGCAATTTAATCGAAATATTTTTGAAAGAAGAGTAAAGACGAATTATTCATCAATGCGAATTACTCCGAACGAAAAAAAAATACCACTTATTCAAAATACCAATTGAAAAATCAAAATCATAACAAGTCCAAAAATAATAAAATTATGCATTTAAAATATCTCCCTATAATTTTAAAAAGACCAGTTTTTTATTCTTTCTTTTCAGAGTTGCAAATTGGCTTCTGAGTTTGTGTTTAGAGATAACAGATTCTAAATCATTTTTACAAAACTTAGTAGATGTGAAGGTTTGTAAGAGTCATTGGTGTAGAAGATAAATTTATGAAGCTGAGTTCAAATAAAATTTCGACAGCAGTACTATCTGCCCTTCTTCAGTTTTCTCCCGCATTTCGAAATATCGCACGCGCAATTTTTGAATCATAGAATCTATTCTAACTGCTTTTATACCTCATTCTGTGTTATGCTTAAGTAATTTCCTACATGTGAGTCGTTAGTTCTTCTTTGCGATGTCAGTGTTCTCCTGCACTGAACTCATGTGTATACCTACATCACGAATAAAAGGGATTGATCTTCCAGGAAACAAGTGTATTAGCCATGTTTTTGATCAAATAAAATGGGAAATTCATACACAACGTTTAAATTCGAGACATTTTGTATACTTTTCTTTCCAGTAGAATATCAGTATATTTTCAACAAACTCAAACTGTCATTACATAAATTGCTGATACAAACCAAATTATATGATATCCAAATCCAAAATTTTATCACTCCTATTGGCGGTATCCCGGACAAGTTGACATCCACTATTTCCTGTTTCTTTCCATGTTATATGATATAACGAAATTATTATTAATAAAATCAAAGAGAATATAACAGACAACCTCTAATTTGTGAATTAAGTTAACAAAACCCATTCTTGTCTTTTCCGATCGCATTTCCAACGGTGTAAATAAGAGAATTTCTAAATAAACATATTTCATCTTTATGAACATATTGAATCAAATTATTTTATTTATTTTGGTTGTTTTTTTTTGTTGTTGTTTTTTTTTTTTTAACGAATCATTTTGGCCAATGTATCCTTCAGTCTTTTTCTATTGCCGATCGTGAATATCTGCACATTTTGAACCTAACACTTTATTAAATCCATTCGCAAAGTACGTTCTCATTCATCTGTTCATAATAGAGGATTTCATATATTTATTCTTCCTAAAAATTATTCTTAAATCCGCTTCACTGTAGCAATTGAATAAATTCACAAGCATACTGCGGTGCGTTTCCCACGTGATGCCGGCTCAACACTTTTTACTGAACCTGAATAAACACACAAATATCATATAATGCAATATCTTATATATCCTCTCTTCATGGTAGATGTTGCCTTCTATTAAGTCCTTGTTAATTCATTATTTTATTATGATTCTACCCGTTCCACTGAAATGGAGTAAATGATTGTAGTCACTATCACCACGTAATTACATATCTTTTATATCCTCTGTCCATAGTAGTGGCTGTCTCATATTAATTCTTAGTTAATTCA